AATCATATTTAGTATTTTTGTACGAGATGTGAACAACGGTTTAAATTTAAAAAAATGATATTTTCTATAAATTACATTTTTGTGTTATTTTTATCAACAGTTGCTTAATGTATTAATTAATCAATTTTTTAAATATTTTTCAGGTTCTTTGTAACGGCGCAATTTGTAGCATAGTAATGATAGGCGCCGTTATACAGTCACTTGTTCTCGGTAACTTAAGACCAGTAGAGCACGTACAATTTCGGGAACGTCTTTGGAACTGGGTCATTTACAAATTCATATTCATGTTTATAATCCTCAAAGCTTATACATTGGATAAAGTAGCTCTTTGGCTATTTTGGTATTCTACCCTAGGATTTCTTCATTTGATGACCAGTTTGTGTAAAGACCGATTTGAATATGTAAGTATGTTTTTTTTACTAAGAGAACGCCACACTCGTATGCGTTGTCTTCGTCTTACAAACGTATACTGTATAGATCATAGTTAATTGTGCGTTCCAAATAATTCAATTTAAAGCTAGTTATGAGCAATTAAAGAAAAGTTAATTGTATGTACATCTTGAAATGCTYATAACTCGCTTTAAAATTGAAATATTAAAAAAACACCCAAATCATCGACTAGATAATATTCTTAATCCTAAATTTGGTTCACTCTAAAATTAAACATAACAGAGTTAAATGAATTATTCAGAGAGGTATGCAGAACGTGCAACATAGAAAAACTACTTTCGTGGGAAAGAACCAAGAAGAAGGCTACAGTCATAACTCATAACTTAACTAAGAAACAAARTGTTCTAACTATGAAAAGAAAAACATTCACTGTGTAACTTCGTTTTTATTTTTTCGATATCATAAATATAAAAAAGTTTTTATTGTTTAAAAATTAATTATTTAAAACWATTGAATAAATTTTTTGTATTTGTCTAATCRAAAAAATAAAAACGATTTTGTWATTGTTGCATAGTAAATGTTCTCCTCCTCATATAGTGTGAAAATTTTGTTTCTTGCCAAGACTAGCTTTCTCGGTTCTTTTTCGCACCAGATAGTTTTTACTATGATTTACGCTTGTAATACAGTGACAACTCACATGGGGTGTGGCGTCTTCTTAATACTTTATTATTTTATGTTATTATCGAAATAACACTCATAGGTACAACATCTGGAGGACATCTACACATAACACTTAAATTTGTTATAAAAATGTTGTACTTATTTGTTAATTGTTATTAAATAATAAATATTGACTGGGGCGGACTAGACTGGCAGGACCAACTGTCTATAAAAAACTAATTTTTTAGTTAATCCTTTTTAGCATGTCTAAAAAATGTTTCGGCCTGAAATATTGTTCCAGTCTG